ACAACACACTTAGTCGGCATATTTTCGGACAATATCGACTACAACCTTCCCAAACAAGTGAAAATGTGTGAAATGCAGACTTCCGTGTTCTCGATTTGACGTCACATTACCCTCTAGAGCCATTCCTCTTTAAACTCGGTCGTGGGGCAAGATAGCGACCGATTTTCCGTATTTTGACTGGGCACAGAAAATTGAAGATTTGAGCAAATAAAAAAAATTTTGTACAGAAATACTCCAAAAAATAAGCTTATTTCGTTGAGCGAAAAAACATTTTTGGGTTTAGGTGCACTTTAAGGACGAAATCAGACTTATTCAAAAACGCTAAAAAAAAAAGCATTTTTGAGGCAAAAGGAGGACTATGCACCACAGGTAAAGTAATTCAACGTTTATTTATCAATGATTTATGTACATAGTCAGCAATATATCACTCTAGCTGAGGCAAACGGTAAATCTGGTACATTCACTGTAAAACAACGGTCGGCTACACAAACAGATATTATGGGTACCCTGTGGTGCCAGCCTTCGCTGGGTCCCGGTAATAATAATAAATGGTCCAAAACCGAATTCATTCTCCCAAAACCACCCTCAATAGCAGCGAAAATAGCGCTTCAAAATTCACTAGCCTCAAAATTCAGAGGCTCAATTCCTCTGTAACAGCCAGAGATCGAGAATCGTTTTTTCGCACCTCAATTAGATAATTACGCTTTCTTAGTTTACACGGGAAAAGTTCATGCAACCTCCATATAATTTTGGCCATTTCACAAAGATACCACTGACATCAATACCGTCGACTCAAATTCAATATGTCGGAGAAAGAGGGAAAGAAAGAACAACTTGTTATGTAGATTATGGCAAAAGTAGAATGCGTTCATGACAACGATAGCACAAATAGTTTAGGTGCATGATGATGTTGATGCGAAGAAGCGTTAAGAGTTTGAAAAACGTGACAAATGGAGTGCGAACAACGATTGTTTTTCAACTGAAAGTCACAAGCAATGTTCAGTATTTCTACACACACGCAGGTTTGTGATAAATTAACTACCTGGAGTGTTGCGTTGTCACATTGTGGTAACATTATTTCTTCTCGTTTCGGTATTTCTTCAACTTTTCAAGGTCCTTTTCATTCCGGTGAATATGAGATGCAGGACCCAAAGTCAGCGGATCAAGTGTAGGTGACATATTAGATGTAACTCATTCTACTGAAACAAACCGAACGTTTACGTTTCTCATCGCGTGAGCCAGAGTTATTTCGATTGCAAACTGTATATATTAATTATAGATATTAAGAAGAACAGTGCACTAGTTTAGGCCCCTCTTTGTAAGCTACAATTCCTCTCATGTGGTAGAGGAACAAAGAATATGTCACAGCTTTTTGTTCACTGCTGTGAAATTTCCTACTGTGAAGTCTGCGCCCAGGCCACTCAGGGGGAAAATGCATAGGATTCCTTTAGGAAGACAAAATTATCTGGTTGATAAATGTACTGGATCAGATGTGTAAACTGGAAAGTTACTGTGAAGTTACTTGTGAAAGGGAATTAGGTAATAGTGAACAGTGGCTCCCATTTTCGGATGTCAGTAACCTGTCAGTCAACTATCGACCAACAGGTTACCAACACAGTACTAACACTTTAGTGACAGTCGGCTAACAGTGTTAAGTAGACCAAAAATTGACTGAAAACAGAGTCAGAACTTTTCCAGTTGAAAACAGTTAATAGATATCTGTTGATTGCACCATTCATACCTATCTACTTGATTCTGTTTGAATGATAAATTAAGTTTGTTTAACCTATCTTTTCGACTGTAAGTACCAAAACTCGGTACTAAATTTAGTACCTATTTCTTATATCCTTGTCTGTACACAAATAAACTTCTTTTCTCCATAAAAGTGAAGATCTTATCAGGGTTATTATAGTTGTTTAGATATTTTGAAACTAGCCCCAAACTCAGCTGAAGATAGTAGTTTGTATTGCTGCATGATTGTATTGGTTTGATAAATGAGTCCTTTGTGCACTTTTGATCTTAATAACCTATTTCTTTTTTCTAAAAGTGTAAATGTGACATATATTGATCGCACTGGAAACAGAATAAAAGTGAGAGGGAAAATTGGAGACAACTTGCTATATCTGGCACACCGTTATGGCATTGAAATGGAAGGTAAGCTACATGTTTTACAACTAAGCTAATAAATTTGCTGTTACAACTGGAAAGTAAACATCAAACAACTGCAACTTTTCTGATATCAAAAGAACCATTAAGTGTACTGGATATTTGAAACAGAGAGCACACATCAGTGCATCGAAATGAAACCTGAAAGCAAATTAACAAGCTGATACAAAATTAATGTAGTTTTCCTAAAGTGCATTTCTTGCTGTGGTGACCTAGAAAGTTGAAAGTTGGAGGGATGGATTTATTTATGAAGTCCAGAGCACTCAAGATTGAGATTAACCATGCATGGATAACAATGGTTTAATTAACAATTAAACCCTAACCCCAAGCAATCTCACCATATAATGTGCAAGTTATTTGAGTAAAGAAAATTGTAACAATTATTTTTGTTTCAAAGGAGCATGTGAAGCATCATTAGCCTGTTCCACGTGTCATGTCTATGTTAGGGAAGACTGTTTGGAAAAGCTCCCTGAACCAGAAGAGAAGTACAAATAAGTAGATTTTGGATACACAGTGATAGTCCCATCCATACCAAATTATCTTGTCTTATTATATAGATACTGATGAAATACCAGGATTTCTCCTTTTACTTAAAAATCATATCTTCACCGCACGCAGTGAAGATACTATTTTTATCTTTCATGTGTGAGGATATTGGTGTGGCCATGTTTACCAACATAATTACCAAATTGCTGTTTCGAAAAGGAATAAAAAAAGTTGTTGTTTATGTGGAAATTTCATCAGTATCTATATAATAAATAGAACATTACATGGCCACTTGGGGATACAAATTTTATCTTCTCGTGCTGAAATTGTCTCTCACGAGTGAGCGCAGCAAGCAAGTGAGAGATACTTTCAGCACTCGAAGATAAAATTTGTATACCCGCGCAGCCATGTAATATCCTCTATTTATCCTATGGAACAGAAGTCTCATCCTTCTGCTATCCTTCTTGAGTGATTTCCAATTTAATGTGTTGTCTATATAGTTGAATGTTTCCTGGTTAATAAACTGTCACTCACTTAGTATCAAAGGTCTTTTCTTCAAATTATTTACTCAAGCTATACTTAAACTGAAAGAAATAATATAAAGATATTTTTTTCCTTGAAATTTAAAGAGCCACATTTTAAAGTTGTGCACAATTGTTTGCACCTTGATTAGATACAGTTGAGTTTCTTCTGAATATTACTTGAGTTTAGTTTCATTTTCTCCTCCAAGAAAATAAACACTGAACTATAGATAACAAAGATTATTAAAAACTGGATCATTGGATAATGCAATTCAAGACTTTTTATTGGCTTAGCCATTATGATATATGAGCCAATATACCATAATCTACAAATATGATAAGCGTACGCGTCGGCTTAAAATTAAAAGGGAGCTCAAAAGAGGAGAAGACAAGATTTGTCTAATATCGTGGGGGTGTTTTTAATAAAAGAATAATTATTCCACTCGCGCTTGTTGGATATGGGATGATTATAGCTAACTCGGCACTACGCGCCTCGTTGGCCATCTATCATCTCATATCTAACAAGCGCGGGTGGTTATTAACAA